AGGCTGATAAAGCGGAGATAATTGTTTGCACTCCTTATACTCTCTGGGATGGCAGAAGATTATTGGAATGATGGAAATTTCAGGCACTGATTTAAAACATTTTCTGCTCATTAAAGCTAAACCCCAAGCATTTTGCAAGAGCAGAGCCTCCCAAAACCCATAGCATGGGATTCCACATGATGCAGTGATGCAGCCAGCATGGGCTACCCCTTGCCAACAGAAAGCAGCTTCGCTCTGAGTTAAGCCCCATGAAGGTACTCAACTTGAGCACTGCAAGTGTTTCCTAACACACAGTGAACAAAGAAACTGATCCCACATACAACCACTATGGGAAACACACTGGGAACAAGGGAAAGAGCACATTTCAGGAAAAATAGTCAGTTTTTGTTCCACTCCCTGGAAAACGTATGGCATTTGTTACTGAAGCTGACCTAGGAGTCAGGTTTGAAGGAAGGAGCAGCAGCTCTGCAAGCGAGAGATCCCCTTCCAGCGAGCATCAGTGTATCTCACACACACACACACACACACACACACACACACAGCACAGTCTCATTCCTTACAGTCTCGTGTCACTGAAAGCAAGAAAAATTCCTGCTATAGAATTCTAGCTCAGATTGCCCACTTGGTTTACCAGCATTCCCATCCCTCTCAAATCAAGGTAATCAATACATCAAAAACTATCGCACGGCTTCAAAAATACAATAAATGATGCTGCATGGATCTTTTTTAATCGCAACCATTCCGAATCACAGATCATGCCGGATTTTGGGGGGTTTTATTTTTGTGTTTTTTTTCTTCTGCAGAGTCACAGTCCCCGAGCTGACTGTTGCTCAGGCTACATCAGCCCAAACCAGTGGTCTGTGCCTGTTCCTTGCGCCCAGTGCCAGCCCTGCACTCAGCCGTAACACAGAGAGCCCCTGCAGCTGGCACAGCTCTCCCCACCCAGCACTGCTCCCCAAGAAGATGAAGCCATGCCAACAAAAAGCGCTTTTTTTGCCAGGGTAGCTGACAGCAGACCAGCACTGCTGCCAGCATTGCGACATCCATTCTAGAGCAGCAAGCGGTTCTTTTTTTTCTTTCCTCCCCTACACAGTTTCCTACACTTTAAGCCAGACAAAACCATTACACTGAAGGCAAGAAGCGAAGACCAGAAGAAGGCAGGTGTGGCCGAGAGGCAGCGCTGCCGGCCGGCATCTCCCCATCTCTCGTAGGCAAAGATGCGCACAGACTGCCTTTCCGCGAGCCTCACCGCCCCAGATGACAGCCGAGGCACGCAGCTACCGTGCGATCCGCTCGCCTGCGGGGAAGGGCCTCGGGGCTCAGCACCGGCGGCGATGCGGTCCCCGTGCGGGCACACGCAGCATCCCCGGCACCGCGCGATGCCGCGGGACCCACCCAGGGCAGCTGCTGCCCGAACGCCCGCCGGGCTGTGCCGAGAGGCGCCGGAGCGTTTGTACCCACAGCCACAACAGTACGGCTCCCATTGAGAAAACGCGTCGGGGACGGAATAATTGCCTCCTCCGTTTGTTTTCCCCGCAAAGAAAACTCCGTCTCTCTGCCACATTTACATTTGTGAATGGGACTACAGTAGAGCCTTCAGCTCCAGCGCTCGCCTAGCAGTATTCCTGCGGAAACAAAACCGGCGTTTTCTCATACGCACACAAACTACCCAGCCGTCTTCTCCCAAACTGAGCCGAAACTTCCCCGCCCGGCACTCCGCCCGTGAGCCCCCGCCCGCTGCGGTCGCTGCTCCCTCCGCTCCCGGAGCGCCCGCAAAGCCGGCGCGGGGCACCGCGCGGACATCGGCCGCTGCCCCCGGCCTCGGGAGGGGGGGAGGCAACCGAAGCGGAGTCGTTCAGCGGCGGCGTTCCGCCAGGGCCGTTTCGGGAGGCGGCAGTAGGAAGTAAGATTTTAGGGAGCCGACTGACTCGCGCGGCGCGAACTTCGCCGGGTCTAAGATCCCCCTAAGGCACGCGGAACGCGCGGATCCCCGCGTCCGTCCTTCCCAGCAGCCGCACGGCGCTCGGCACCGCGCACCGCACCCGCAGCGCCACGGCCGGCGGCCGCCGCGCATCCCCGGCGCTGCCCCCCGCCGCCCCCCGACCCGCCCGCAGCCCGCGCCCCTCACCCGGCTGCGGAGCGGTCCCGCGGCGGCCTCCCGACAGCTACAACTCCGCGGCGGAGCCCGGGCGAGCCGCACGCCTGCGGAGCGGCGGCGAGCGGGGAGGAAAAGAGGAAATGAGCGGGAGGCGCATTGGAGGGAGGGGGAGGAAGGAGCCGCCGCCGAGGGAGCGAGCGGGAAAGCGAGGCACGGAGCGCAACTTCCCCGCGGGGCAGCGGCGGCGCCGGGGGGCGGAGCGCGGCCGTACCCCGCAGCCCTGCGCAGCGCCGCGCCCCGCCGGGGCCGCCCGCCCGCCGCCGCCACTTGGTATCGCCCGGCCGCCGCGGGGCAGGAAGTGCGGGGCGGCGGGGAAAAGTTTATCTCTCTGTTTTTCTATTTTTTTTATTCTCTTTTTTAAATTATTTTTCTATCTAGTTTTTGATTTTTTTTCCTTCTTTTTTTTTTTTTCTTTTAACCCCAGTGCGAACAAGGAAGCGCTCTGCCGCAGGCCCTACAACGAGTTCTGCCACCGCAGCCAGTGCGTTCTCCCCCGCCCCAGCCGTGCCCCACGAAGCCGGGCAGGTGAATCCCTACGGGTGCGGAGCCGCTGGCCGGGGACAGCTGCCCTCGCAGCGCGCCCCGCCACAAAATGGAAGGGATTGAGGGCTAAGCTAAGCTGCTTCTCGAGGGAGGTCATGGGAAGCCTTCTTCACAGCTACGGCCTGCAGAGCGCACGGGGGAATGAATCCTTCCTTTCAGATTTCTCTTTTTCCCTCAGCTCCTGCCCGGCAACTTACAAGTGAGGAACGTATGGAGAATTGAATGCCATTCCCGTAGTGCCTTATCGGCAGCTTTCACTCTGCCTTCCTTCATAGGAGCCCAGGCGAGCGTATTCAGTGCGGGCATGAGATAAGAACTGAGCAGAGCTGAAATCAGGGCCACACCAGGAAAAAACGATACTGAGAGATTTCAGCAACAAACCTTGGGAGGCACATAAAGCCCACTGCCTCCAAACTGCAGATTTTCAAAGCTTATCTCTATACCTCGTCTGCAGATTTCTGTGAGGACAGAAAATTTAAAAAAAAAAAAAAAAGGAGAGAAAAAAAATAGAAGGAAAAAAACCACCTTTCACCTCTATTGCAAAGATGGAATACACTGAAACTATTGATGCAAAGCTGAAAGTGTTACTCAGCAATAACCACTTTCTCCAGCCCCTTTCAGAGTAGTTAAACCATTTTGCCAACTTAAAAAATAATACATGTATCAAAAAAAAAAGTCAGCCCAAGGCAAAAACAAGCTGGGAAACTGGCAAACCTGCGCCGTTAAAACTAGAAGCAACTAGAACAGGAACACAGAATGGAAAACTGTATGCAACCACTGTCACTGCCAACTTCACACGCCTGCAGCCCGCTCCTCCTCGCGGGGGGTGGTTACACATGAGTAATCTCCTTGCTTTCCCTGCACACCCTGTGTGAGTGCTGCCAGGTGCTGGGGCTGTGGCTCACACAGGGCAGGCAGCTGCACAGCCCCTCACTCAACGTTCTTGGCATCAAGACTCACCATCAGCCCCATCCTCACAGCCCTCGTTTGGATGCTGTCTCATAGCTTTATGTCCCTCTTACACCGTGGCCCCCAGCCTGCACGCAGCGCAGGAGGTGAGGCCACACAGCACAGAGCAGAGCGAGGCAACCTCTTCCCTTGCCCAATGGCAGTGCTGGGCCCGTTGTAGCCTGGGATACAATTGGCCCTTCTGGCTGTCAGGGCACACTGCTGGAGCTCAGAGACTGTGAGCACACTTGGGCTGATGCATGGGGTGCTGAGGATGGAGATATGTGCTGATAGATGTGGCTCTGAACTCGCATGGCGGAGCACTCAGATGTTTCAGTCAGGAGCTCTCCATGCTGGGAGACCCAGGGCATTTTGCTGTCAGTAGGTAACTACTTCGAGAAGCACCCGTGGCTGCTCAGTTCAATACAAAACTCATTTCCTCTCTTTGATCCCTCTAGTATTCAGTATATTAACCTGTGATTAGCTGCAGAAATACTTGAAATAATTTTGCTTTCAGATGTTACTGGGGAACACATAGCAAGAACCAAATGAGGCATTACTCTTTTATACTCAACTTTTTTTCAGTGGTTGCAGATATCCAGCTGTGACCAGAAACAAGATGTCAGTCAAACCCTCACCACCAAGACTTTGGAGGATGTTGAGCACTAATTCCTGATACGGAGCAATCCCTGACTGACAGCAGTCTCTTGGGAAATGCTGGGGAAGGAAGGACAGCCTCCCAGAGCTGCTGGCTGCTAACAGCTCCCTGTGTGATGTGGAGAAGCTGCAAACCCACATACATGGACAGCAAGCCCTGTGTTTGAAAGTTAAAGTTAGTATTTTCACAGTCAGTTTCTCCTATAATGTGCTTAAACACATACTTGAGCCCACTTATGCAAGAACTTTATGTCCTGTTACATCAGGCACATTTGCAAGACTGGGCCATTGGATGTGTCTGACTTACATGATGTTCTTCGTTTAATGTCTTATAATCATAAGATCATTTAAGTTGGAAGGGACATTTAAAGGCTATCTGGTCCAACTGCCTTGCAATGAACAGGAATGCCCACAGCTCCATCAGGTGCTCAGAGCCCCATCCAGCCTGACCTTGGGTGTCTCCTGGGATGGGGATCCACCACCTCTGTGGACAGCCTGTGCCAGTGCCTCACCACCCTTATGGTAAAAAACTTCCTCTTTTATATCCAATCTAAATCTCTCTTTTAGTTTAAAACCATTTCTCCTTGTTTATTAAGCCAATCTAGTAACCCTGTGCTCACCTAGTGTGGGTCTTTACCAACCATGGTGCCATGGCTGCTTTGGCATCTCACCTTTCAGTTGATTTTCTTTCTGCTTTTTATTCTGCTTCTATAATCAAAACACAGAAACAATGAGGGATTGAATTAGATTCATCTGGATGATTCCAGCTCTGCTGAATCTGAAATTACCATGCAAAATTCCTTCTGCTGTCCGGTGCTTAATCACCAAGGATTAGGTGGAGACGAAAGTCGAGATGTGTGGCACACTGCTATTCTTTAAATATCTGCCATAATAACATGAGCTCTGGTGGCAGCATTAAGGCTATTGCTAATCTCCAGCTATTACCCGCCTTGCTGTGTTTTGGTGTGATTGATTCTGGGTAGGTGTTAAAGCAATATTTACCTTTTTTGAGCCGTTCATCAGCTGGACCTGGAACCCTATGTTTCTGGGGATTTCAATTCCTCTTCTACCCAAAAACTATCAGAGGAAACTGCTGTCAAGGATTTAAAGCTCACACTGCTCCTTCCCTCTGGATCTCCTGATAGCTGTGATGGCTGTGGGGACCCAGAGCTCCCTCCCTGAAGGCAGCTGACTGCTCCAACCATTTTCAGGCCAGATGGGAGCTACAAAAGCCAGGATTTGCTTCCACTGCAAACAGGGCCCATCTATTGAGCCTCACAATTTTTGCTACCAGATGCTGGGGCTCAGGTTGTTGCAGGCATCAGTCTCATCCATCAGTGCTCCTTTCTACTGCATTCCCAGCTTGGGCTGCCTGGGAAATGCCAGCTGTGGGCCAGAGAATTGCTTCGATAGGCAGAGTCAGTATTTAATGTACTACCAAAGCAAATAGGCAAGGGGCTTTGCCAGTCATCTGGATCACAGAATCCGAAGGTGGAAAAGAGCAGGTCAGATTTTACAGTGTGTTCCACTGCTAAAGGAAGCTTGTTCTCTGCAGTATCTTCCTGGCCTGTTTTCAACAACCTTGGAGGGTGAGGAGAGATGAGATGGTGGTATTTGCCATACCCTTGAGAGTTTCTTTGTCTGGTTTGAATGATGTAATATGGAACAACTGCAAGTTCAGAAAATGTAGTTACATCACAATATATAATGGAGTTTTTTGCATGGTTTTTCCTCTCCAACATACTTGCTGTGCCTGCTGCTGTGCCAGTAAAAGCAGATAGATGCAAAAGAAAAAATAGTTGCAATACTCCATTACTGTGTCATTGCTCTTCTTCCCCTTAGCAGGAGTTTGTCTTAGTTGCTTTCCTCCCCTGTGAGGAAAAATGAATAGTGAGAGCCGTGATGACTGGCAGTGAGGCTGGGAACAGCAGATGTAAGCTGTACAGCTGTACTAAGACAAAAGTGCACTTTCCTACCTACAGTTGTATTGAGGTTGCCCTGGAGGTAGCCACGTGTGACTTAGCATATGGACAGCCAAGGCATCAGGCACATTTATGCATATAAGAATATTTGGTGTCTTCTCTAAGTCAGAGAGAGCAACGATTAAACAACAAAAAAGACATCTGGCTGTGTGGTCTTCCTCTCAGCTAGCAGAATGACTGAGTGAGAAAACAGAAAAAAAAAATTAGGGGTGAAGAACTTATGAATTAAACCAGCATATTTTCATTTCAGCAACTGTTGTCTACCAGTCTATTACACGGGAATCTAAAAAGGACTTCATTTTGCCTCCAAGGCTGCAGTTGCTATGCTAGACACTAAAGTTAGATGCTTCAGATAAGATACTAATACAAAGGCTTCTTGCACAGAATGGGTAAAAACTGCTAAATAGGGAAAATCGAAAAGCTCAGTTTTTCTCTGTGGAGCTTTATGTTAGTTTGGCACTGCAGTGCTTGGTCATGCTGAGATGTGCCAACAAAACAAAGCATGGGAGGTGGGATGGTGGTGTCTTAACTATACCTACTGAAAAGAAACAGCAGAATTTGCTCTGCTCCATCGCCTGCGTGTGCTTATTTCCAGCTGCACCTACCAGAGCATAGCTCTCTCATGGGTCCATGTGCTGGGGTATGTGTTTCAGCGCCCACATCAGGACCTATTGACAGGAGATATGACAGAATTTACTTAGTGTTGGTGGTCCAAAACATCCAACTTCCGCTGAGAGAGGTGGAAAGAGTAAGAAAAGCTGAGCATTTCTACACAGCTTGTTTATTTTCTGAACCGCAACATGAAAACAAAAAAGCCAGCAATTAACCATGAAAAATACCAGTGTATCTAAGTGGAAATCAATGATTTAGGCTGGCATTACAACAGCTGTAAAAAAAAGCAAAACAAAACAAAACATTTTAATTCAATCAGGGCAATAAATAATAATATAGTAAAACTGATGTTTCCCCACTGTGACTTACAGTTTTGCTGAAACTGCTTTTTTTTTTTTTTCATGTGGCTGAGCAAGAGGATGAGGAGGAAACCTGGCAGTGATTTCTGGGATGTTTGAGCCAACAAGATGCTATTTCAGTCCTATGCCATGCTGTGTGTTCTGGGATGCTGCCCAGAGCCAGCAGGGCAGTGGCAGGATGATGGGCTGCATCTCTTGCCCAGAGAGCTACTGCTTTTGGAAACCTTTCTCCCAGCTGCACAGATCCACCCCCAAATCAGAGGGTCACAGCAAAGTGCCATTTCTCATGGAATTGGGGTCCTTATCTAAAAGCAAATCCATGTGAATCATTCACTGCAACGTGGAGGAAGTCAGGTTAATTTTGGCACCAGCAATGGAGTGCTCTTGTATTGCTCCTGTTGGTAATTAAGGGAAAGCAAATCACAGGGGAGAACAATAAAAGTATTAATTAATAACTTTTTTCAAGAAGAAAAAAGTAATTTTTGTTTTAAAAAGATGGTTTATGCCTGGAGAAAATACTTATATAGGACAATCGCATTGTTGGGTGCTTGACAAATACACGCTAATAATTAAATAAGGGCACTGACTGCACATCACCAGATCCTCCATGTCATCACATGGATGTCCCAGTTCTGCCGTCCTGAGCTTTAAAGTGGTACTCCAGCAAGTTTAACAAGTCTGCTTGCATGTCCCAGGCTGGAGGATCTGAGCTGTGTTAATTCCAATAGAGACCTTCAAAGTAATCTTTTCTGCTCCCTCTTGCTGGCAGATTAAGAAGTAATAAAGGGCACCAGATGAGTTCCTAACAAGTGCTGCCCAGGGTCACCTTCCGCATAAAGCACTGCAGCGCTGGGTGATTAACTTTGCACAGAGCACATGTCTGCCTTGCAGACGTGCCCTCCCACCAGCAGTACAAATCAACGTGGCATTGCCTTGGGCTTCTGTTGGGAACAGCCTTTAATGACATCACAGCAAAGGGGATGTGAATAATTGGTGTTTACCCATTTGAAACACACTTTAAGCCATATTGCAGCCGTTACCCAATGCTTAAATACTCCATCATTTACAAAAGCAAGCAAAACTGTCATACAAAGAACACAGGACACAAGTGCAATGCTGCAAGTCACACCCTGGTGGCACAAGCAGGGGTGCGTGCAGTGATGGGGCAGGAGTATACCCTGATACCCCCAGCTGGGCAAATGCCTGGGGGAGAGCATGGGGCTGGCCATGACTAAAAATAATCCCCCAGGTATGGGAGCTCTTATTTGCCTTCTCACCAGCTCTGCAGCTACTTAATTTGAATGTTGCTTCATCTCCTGTCTCCCTCATGTATCATCGCTAATTAAAGTACACACGCTGCTCTCACCCGAGCAGGATGTGGGAGGCAGGAGAGGCTCAGCCTCGTCTGCTGCTGCTGCTGCACTGCTTCTGCAAAGCCGAGTGCAGGGGAGCGGGTCCTGCTTGGAACCCCCTGCCACCCACTGGCATTGCTGACCTTCCCATCCTTCCCTGCAGCCCTGCTTCACTTCATTCCCATCTCGGTGATGGGAAAGTATACAAACAGCAAGGAGTGGACACAACCATTATTGGGCACAGAGATCACAAGTGCCACCCAAAGATTCAACGAGATGCTCTCAGAGAAGAACGCACCAAACACAGCATGTTGAACACGAAGCCATTCCCTCGTCTCTGCCTGAAGTGCATTATATTAGACAAATGCACTCTCCCCATAAATGCCAGGAAAAAGCACTGCTGAGAACTTCCACGGCTCTGAATAATTAAATCCCAGAACTATAAAAAGCTATGAGGGAATGGAATTTAGAAAAATCTAGTTTTAGGATAATTATAGCGCAAATGGGGAGAACACTTGGACCCAAGACAGACATATTAGTAGGACGGCCAAGCACAGTAGGTCAAATTCACACTCGGCAGCAAAGCAGAGCCTTCTGCAGAGCTCCTCAGGGACAGATTCAGCTCAGGGAGTAAAGGCAGACCCTGCATTTGGATGAAAGGAGCGAGTAGAAGTCAAAAATAGAACCTCTTAATATAGAAAGCATTGACATGACTGGAATTATTTCAGGTTAGCATTCATGCTCCAGCTGCAAATGGGAAGTGATATTCTCCAAAATATTTTGTTATCATAGAATCATGGAATCATAGAATCAGTAAGGTTGGAAAAGACCACTAAGATCGTCCAGTCCACTCATGACTGTGACTGTTTTAGACCACATCCCTCAGTGCAACATCTATATGTTTCTTGCACACCTACAGGGATGGTGACTTCACTACCCCCCTGGGCAGTCTGTGCCAGTGCCTTGCCATGACATGTTATGATGCTTCTTTAAGTGTCCTCACCTCCAATCCTCTGTTATCACATCTACTGTGTTACAACTGGCCCAATCTGTTTTCCAATTTGTTGTGTTTGGGCTTAAATGTGTTTCATGTGTTTCTTGAGAGCGCAGACCTTCAGTTTTCAAAGCACATATATTTCTATCCTGTATTTTGCTTGGGAAGCTTGAAAACATTAACCCTGAGTCACCAGCAAGCAAACACAAACGATTGAGATATTCAAGAATGGATGCTTTCCTGTGTGACCTACTGTAGGGAACCTGCTTGAGCAAGGGGTTGGGTTAAGTGACCTCCAGGGGTGCCTTCCAGCCCCTACAATCCCATGATTCTATAAGTTGGATATTTTCACTTAGGAGAAGGCTCAGGGGGACATCATCACAGCATTCCAGTACTCAAAGAGTGGCCACAAACAGGACAAACGAACCTCATGGAGAAGGAAAGGGGCAAAGAATAGAAGTTACACCAGGAATAATAAGATGAGAATCTAATGAGGTTTAAGAAGGCCAAGCACAAGGTGTTGCACTTGTGTCAGAGCAATCCCAAATAGAAGTACAGACTGGGAGAGGAACTCATAGAGAGCAGCCTTGAAGAGAAGGACTTGGGGTCCTAACGAACGAAAAGCTGTGTGCTCTTGCATCCCAGAAGACCAACAGTACCCTGGGCTGCACGAAAAGAGGAGTGGCCAGCAGGGAGAGGGAGGGGATTGTCCTTGTTAGGCCCCATCTGGAGCATCCAGGTCTGGGGCCCCCAGCGCAAGAAAGACGCAGAGCTGTTGGAGATGGTCCAGAGAAGGGCCAGGAAGACAATCAAAGGGCTGAAGAACCTCTCTTATGAAGAAAAGTTGAGGAAGTTGGGTTCATTCAAATTGTAGAGGAGAAGGCTCTGGGGAGACTTCATTGCAGCCTTTCAGTCCTTAAAGGGAACTTCAAGCAGAATGGTGACTGACTTTTTACACAGTCTAATAGTGATGAGACAATGGGGGTGGCTTTAAACTAAATGAGATTAGGCTTATGTTAGATATTTTAAAAAATTTCACTCAGAAAATGGTGAGGCCATGACACAGGCTGCCCAGAGAAGCTGTGGGTGCCCCATCCCTGGAGGCATTCAGGGCCAGGGTAGATGGGATCCTGAGCAGCCTGATCTGTTGGTTGGCAGCCTGGCCCATGGCAGGAGGTTGAAACTAGATGACCTTTAAGGTTCCCCTCCAGCTTAAGCCATTCTATGATTCATTCATTCAGGACAAGTAGGCAGAAGCATCTGCAGTCCCAGCACTCTCCCAGCTGTCTCTTGACACAACTGCCCTGTCACCTTTGGCAGCAGCACCATGCTGGCAGTGACACTGTGCTTTGCCACAGAAGCTCCGTGGCTGCCTGCAGGGAGCAATTTCATAGCTTGTTCTGGATAGAGGGCCAGGCTGGATGATCTGTGGAACACTTTTAGGTTTCCTGGATTGACAAGGCAAGAAGATGTCAAGGCAAGTGGGAATCATCTGTGCTAATTAAAGATCTCAAGCCAGTCTTATGATGGCCAGTGTTCATTAACCCTCCTGTTCTCTGTCAACTCACATTTCCGTGACCTCTCTCTTGAGGTGATATTCATTCCCTGTATGAAGTTATTGGGTGTAGTCATAGCACACTGCTAAACAAGTGCTGTTTCCATAGTGGTGAGCAATGACTTCCTTTACACTTTGTTTATTAAGAGCATAGGCATCCTTCAAGGTGAAAGGCTTTCCGACAAGCCCATGCCATTCCTTAAAAAATGCTTAAAAGAAGATATATGCTATGAGCAGCTGGGGAAGAGGCCTGGAGAAAAAGTTGAAGCTCAGTAAAGCTGCAGGTCAGGCAGGCAGGGACGGTCAGCTGTGCAAACACAGATTGGGTTCAGCTCCAACAGCTTTGCCAAAAAAATGGCTGAGAGCATGGCTATGGACTGCACAAGAATCAACAATGCCACGGTTGTTGTGGAAATGCCAGATGTTAGAAGTCAGATAAAGCAGGAGAAAAGCTCATGAAATGTGAATTTACCTCTGCACACCCGTCAAGGTGACTGCAGAATTAGGGAGAAGGGCTAGGGTGGTGGGAAGCAAGCTGGGAGCAGGGGCTGGCTGCTGGAAGGATGAGAAACTGGAAGGGAAACATCCTCTTCCAGGTGGTAATGTGTTATTTTAAGTAGAAGAGGATGCCTGCAGTGAATAGAAGCAATGAGCTTAAATTAAAGCAAGTAAGAATCAGAGCCTGCACAGGGAAACAAATTTCTCCAGGTAAGGACATCAAACCACCAGACGGGATGGCTGGAGGGGATTGAAATTTCCATCAAGCTACCAACAGGTTAGACAAGTGGTGGTTAGAGATGATAAAGTGGCACAACCTGCCTTGAGGCTGGAGAAAAGATTAAATGAGCCCCAGTGAATCTTTCCAGCCTTGTTTTGCTGTGATTTATCAGAGGATTCACAGCTACAATTTCCCGTATTCGTAGGGTTTAAATGCAGCTCAGCTCTTCGGCACTGCAGTGAAGATTTGGAAGATAAACAAGACACTCTTGTCCAAGTCAGGTGACTCCCAGTGTGGAGCACCCCTGCAAGACACATTCGGGAGCTGAGAAAGCAATGCTCAAAGCATTTCTCCCCAGTTTTTTGCAGAACTTAAGTATCAGTGGTAATGGTCTGGGCAAACACCTAGCTTTGAGGCCAGCTGTACTGCAGGAGCAGGACTAAGACCCTAGAGGTCCCTTCTACAGTGCCAGTAGAGGTAAAACAGGAGTTTCCCACGTGCCAGCAGAATTTCCTATACTTTTTAATACCTAGAACATTCCTTTTCACTTGAAAAAGTGTGCAACAAGTGTCATTTATTCCCAGGCCACCCCAATCCTACCCCAGGCAGCCAAGCCAGGACTTGCTGCTGGATCTGTTTCAAACCACATCCCATCCCTTGGGTCATCTCTGCTGCTGGGCTTAAGACAGCTTGATAAGCTTGATACCTTAATTACCTGTTTAGTTTCATTACCACAGAATGTAAATTAATTATGTATAATGACACGGTCTTAAAAAAAAAAAAAAAAAAAAAAAAAGATAAAAGATAAATAAACACCTTTTCTTTCACCGTTGTCCCACCACAGCGTGGGAGAGGACAATTTATGCTAATTCCTCTCCCTTTCTCATGGTGTTTATTGATTTTTGAGGGCCTTACTAAATCCACCAAATGGCAGCCAGAGAAGACACACCATGGTAGTGGTGGGTGTAATCAGTACAGCTTCAAAAAATACATTACAAAGAATGAAAGACATTATGCCTATCTGGAAAAAAAAAAAAGGAAAAACATCAAGACAAACCTTACACAGGTCACAGTGAGATCCTTACGGCCCTGTACACAACCCAACTCCCACATGTTGTAATGCAGCCTTTGCTCACAATGGCACCAGACATGTGCTGCTTCTCTGCTCCTGCTCTGTGCCCTGCAGTGATGGCAGGTCACTGGGAAGGGCAGGAGCCATTGTGACATTCAGAGCCAGGGTGATGTAGCAAAGCAGGGCTATTAGGGGATGACTGTCTTGTAACCAAGCCAAGTGAGCACAACTCTGATGCAACCATGATATAAGAACAAGGTAGTTCTCCTGCCTCCTTACAGCTCTTTGCTGCCTCTTAGATAGACAGTCACTTTTTAGGAATGTTCTTTTTTTTTTTTTTTTTTTTAATTTTTTATTTTTGGCACAGAGGTCAGGTACAACAAGCCAGGAATTTTTTTGGTTAAAACACTTCAAATCTAAACACACCCTTACATCCACTGTTATACAAGGGTATGTGGGGCTGACAGGATTGTCATCACCCCACGGTGCAGCTCCCCTGATAAGCAGTGAACCCTGTACCCAAGGTACCCAGGGATGGGGCTCAGAGAACCTTCCTGCTTAGGGAAAGGATGCATGAGACAATCATCTGCTTGAATTTAAAAAGACAGATTTACAAAGAATAATTGCCTTCTAACTTGGCAGAGAATGTGTGCTGCCTTTAAGAGATTCACAGCTGTGTCCTGTTCTGGTGGAGTTAACTGAGCTTAGAAAAAAAACATTTGATCTATTCTTCTTTCATTCAACACAACTCAGAATCTCCCAGGATATTTCTATTAGGATTGCAGCAGGTTTTCCATTTCAATGTGTTGGCAGAGAATATCTGTCACACCAATGGCATTTTTTACACGGAAAGCATCGCCAACACTTACAGCAGACAGCAGCATATACATCACCCAAAGAGCTAACTGCGTTGTAGGAGCAGCAAGACAGGATACCTTTTCCTCTGACTGTGACTGCAGGTTGCCTTGAGCAACATGAATTTTGCAGTTGGATTCCCAGATTTTGCACCATTTCTGCACTAGATTGACAGCTCTGGCATTTAGATTCATTTAAAGCTAAGCAACAATTAAGTACAAAACAAATAGATCAAGTTGCAGAGCCACCCATGTTCGTAACAGTCTTCCAATCCTCATCCATCATTTCCCGCAGCTCCTTGCAGGGATGCCAGGCTCTCACCTTTTAAAAAGATGGATTTTTTTAAAGTTCATATTTGCACAGCACCGGAGCACAGCTGGAAAATCCCTGTGTAGCCTTCCCCCAAGAAAAAGGAAGAGAAAAAGTGCCCCATAGGAAATCCTGGAGACTGACCAAAGAATTAAATGAACGAAACAAAAAATGATGAACGTGAAAGAAGAGGAAAAAGTCAATTTCAGCTCCAAAGTCATACTTTTGGTTTTAACTCTGGTTACATGGTGTTGCAATAGACCTACATGGTGTTGATGGTTTCAGCACTGAAACCAGCATTTACAGAAACATGCGGCAGCCACCACCAGAACCGGTTTGCAAACCCTCTCAGATGTTACCAGCTTGCACTGACTCAGACTCTGAAGCTCATAATTTATCTTCTGTTACACATACTGAGAGCTGCAGTAGAGTTACAGAACTACATTTCCAAGGTAAATCATTAACAGTAACTGAAAGGCTGTCCCCTTAAAGCTGTTTCCAGGAAGACTTTATGCACACAGCTGAAGTTGCCCCTGTGTGCTAAGCACATTCTTCTTCTGTTGAAAATGTTTCAAGGGCAGCTTCTTTTATGAGGGATTTGCAGGGCAAGAAAAAGCCAGTTGTGATGCATGCTATGCATTTTAGATTCTGTTTGTCACAGAGGAACCCAAATATTGCTCAAGTGCTTGGATAGGGGTGGGTGCCAACTCTCCATCTTTGTCCATGGAAAGGAAACTTTCAGGGCAGCCCCAGCCTGTGGTCTGGGGAACTGAGCCTGCAAGGGATGGACCACAGACCTGTGTTTTAGGTGCAAATCATGGATGAAGCAGCCCTCAATATGTAATATACGACAGTATATTATTTACATGTAATTATTAAATGTTACATTTCTGCTAAATACAAGATTTGAGAATTTTGAAGTCTACTCTGTTTTAAAAGTAAGACTCTGAAATAATTTTTCATGTTGATGCAACGATCAAAGTAGCCAAGGAGGCCATTTCTCTGCTAGAAAAGCAATGCCCCACAGGAGTAATTCTTCAGTCCTGTTTTAAATATCCCCACATTTCCCTGAGAGGCCATCCAAAGTTCTACTTCATGATCTGCATAGAGAATTTCTCCTGGCACTTATAAGATATGCACACGCTAAAAGCATGCAGAAGTCAAACTGGGCTTTAGGAAAAATTTCCAAATGAGTAAATCCAATTATTTAAATTTACCCTTGCAAATCCTTCACTATTTTCTAGTGCCTTATGGACAAACACTTGCTGACAGTGGGGCCATGGCATGGCTCTCCATCACAGTGCCAAGCTCAGGGCTCAGAGGAGCACTGAGCAGGTCTCAGAGGTTTGAAGGCTTGCTAATGTGACTCTCATCTACAGGAAGGGTTGTAAGGAAGATCCAAGGAACTAAAGGTCTGTCAGCCTGACCTCAGTGCCAGGAAAAGTTATGGAACAGATCATTTTGAAGGAGATCACAAAGCATGTAAGGGACAACCAGGGGATCAGACCCAGCCAGCACAGGTTCATGAAAGGCAGGTTCTGCTTGACCAACTTGATCTCCTTCTATTATCTGGTGACCTGCCTGGTGGATGAGGGAAAGGCTGTTATGTAGTCTACCCAGACTTCAGCAAATCCTTCGACACTGTCTCCCATAGTATTCTTTTGGAGAAGCTGGCAGCCTGTGGCTTGGACAGGTACATTCTTTGTTGGGTAAAGAACTGGTTGGAGGGCTGGGCCCACAGAGCAGTGTGAGTGGAGTTAAACCCACCTGGCAACTGATCATGAGTGGTGCTCCCCAGGGTTGGTACTGGGGCATGTCCTGTTCGGTATCTTTATTGGCAACCTGGATGAAGGCATTGAGTGCACCCTGAGCAAGTTATCAGATAACACTGAGCTGGGAGAAAGTGAGAGATCTCACTGGGGATAGGAAGGCCCTACTTTGATATCTGGATCCGGACATGCTGGATCACTGGGCTGAAGCCAATGGGATGAAGTTCAACAAAACTAAGTGCCGGATCCTGCTCTTTGGTCACAACAACCCCAGGCAATGTTACAGGTTTGGGGCAGAGTGGCTGGAAGACTGGGTTGAAGAAATTGACGTGGGGATGTTGGTCAATGTTGAGCTGAACATGAGCCAGTAGTGTGCCCAGGTGGCCAAGAAGACCAATGGCATCCTGGCTTGTATCAGAAATATTATTGCCAGGAGGAGCAGGAAAATGATCGTCCCTCTGTACTCAGCACTACTGAGGCCACATCTTGAGTACAATGTTCAGTTTTGGGCCCCTCACAACAAGAAAGATATTGAGGCCCCGGAGCGTGTCCAGGGAAGGGCAATGAAGCTGTGAGGGGTTTGGAGCACAAATTTTATGATGAGCAGCTGAGAGAACTGGGATTGTTCAGTCTGGAAAAGAGGAGGCTCAGGAAAGGATTTATTGCTCCCTACAATTTGTGGTTGGAGAGTGTTGGCCTCTTTTCCCATCTAGGAAAAGAAGGATGAGAGGGAATGGCTTAAGTTGCACCAGGAGAGACCCAGGTTGGATGTTAGGAAAAAAATTCTTCTTTGGAAGAGTGGTCAGGTGCTAGAATGGGCTGCCCAGGGAGGAGGTAGAGTCATCATTCCTGGAGATGTTCAAGAAACATTTAGATGTTTCACTGGGGGACATGATTTAGTGGAAAATACTGATAGGTGGACGGTTGGACTGGATGATCTTGGAGGTCTTTTCCAACCTCGGTGATTCTATGATTCCTGGTACAGCTGTCACCACTGCACTCAAACAGCCTCTTGTGATGCTCCTGGGGATGTGCCCCACCTGCCACTGGTCTCCCAGTCTCATTCCCCAAGAGTGTGCACCCCTTAGGCCCAACAAGGCATCCCTCACCAGAGATGGTGAAAGAGCACTCATCTGATATTGGAAACAGATTCCTCTTGCAAATATTACCTCCAACATATGTTTTGCAGAGGTACAAAGCTGCTTCTTCCAAACAAGCCCACGTCAGTCATTCATAACCGAAATGCTGTTGTTCACATACCTCTGAATGGAAGTGCAAAACACCCCCCACACCCCCATCCTCCTCCCTTCATGACTCAGCTATATCCATCCCCCAGCTCTTCCTTATTCTTCCATTGCTCCCAGCCCAGAAATCACTCCCAGCCTATGCTCAAGCTGTAGGTCTGATGTTTCCTGAGATCCACATCCCTTGGCACAACTGAGCTCAGTGCCTGCCTGGACCTAGACTTTTCATTGCATCCCTACATAGACTCTCAAACACTGACAGCCCTTCACAGCCCTGTCTGTGTGACACAAGTTGTCTCTCAGCTCTGTGACAAGTCCTTATCCCAGACAGCAGTAAGTGTCAGGGTTCACCGTATCATTTGAGTGGACTGCTTCAGGTTTGGCTTTGAGACAAGCAGTGCTCTCTGTTTTCTGCAGCTGGTGTTGATGCAAAAGGTATTATGTTCAATGTGCTGTCTCCTGCACATCTCTCTGCTGAAATATCACATTTCCTGTGGTGTGGTGTTCTCTGCCAATTCGTCCCAGTTGCAGTGATGAAATTTGGCAAAGCAACTCAGTCCTTGGCTGGTATTGTATCAGATATCAAAGTACTCTTAACATGCCTGCCAGCATTTTGATGGTGTTACTTAAACATTGTCACCATGGCCTTAGCTGTACAGTGTCCTGGTTGTGGTCCTTAGAGGAAGCCCCGTCCAGCAGTGATGATTGAGGAGACTTCCCACTGAAATGCCTCAAAGCTTTTCTGCTTCCCTCTGATGCACTGGCTTGTTGCCACTTGTATTTATGGAGCTCCTCAGGTGTCTCTAGAATTTCACCAGTCCTCACCCAGACTAGACTGTTTTGATCTGTGAATCCCTTCAAATTAACCTAGTGGAGTAGAGGCAGCAAGACTCTTGCCTTTGATATATGTAGAGATCTATATTTTACTTGTTATTTCCAGTCCATTTGTTGTGGAACATGTTAAAGAAACCCATTCATCTTGAACTTGATCTTGTGAGGTCACATGCCCTGTAGGTTACAGACCCACCATCTCCTCGTGCTTCCTGTCCCAGGTCCTTCCATGTTTCTTACCCTGTTCCTATTTCTAATGCCCAGATCACCCCTGTCTATC